AGGAGAAGAAGAAATCCATATGCAGAGATACATAGGGGTACATAGAAATAGGAATAAATAAATTGTCAACCCTGGTTGGATGATGCTGTTCCACTGCTGCTTTTAAGATGAAAAGATTAGCTTCAGCTCACATGGGGGTGACAAATTATTATTTCTATTTACAACCGTAACCAATTTTGCATATCCTTACCTGTATGTAATGTGATGAAATGTAATAAATGTTATTCAGATAAATGATGAATCTGATGACTATCTCAGTGTTCCCCCACCACCACCCCACCCCCGTCAGCGAAGCTGGCTGCGTTGTGTCTTTGCAGATGTTTACTTGTCTTTTTATATTCTGTCCTCTCAGAAGTTGTCGTTCGTCTTAGACCCTGGTGAAGATGTAATGTGCTGACGACATGGTGGCATTCTGGCTTCCCTTTTGTACTTATAGAGAATTCAGAGCTAGCTTACAGCTGCTACCTTTTTTAAAAGAAACAAAACATCACGTTAACTAAACCTGCCTTCAGCGCTGTTTTCTTTGCGAAAAACTCCTTTACGTATTCAGTCAACTTTTCAGATTGAATTCATGCCTGGAGCAGGCTTGAATGTGAATTTATCAGAAACAAGATTTGGATTACAAAAGATAAAAGATTATGATTTCTACATAAAAAGACTTGGTGTGCATCTATTAGAACTATGTATGCATTACCACTGTCTGTAGTATATGGAGCATAAATGATCAGCCTGATATATATGAACAACTCCTGGCTTATTTCATCTATCAGCTAATGTGTTTCAATGTCATTTTATTTATTGGTTATTTATTGTTATGTAAATACTGTTTTCCACCTTGCTAAGAGTAATTGTCTATGTATTTTTCTTCTTTTTGTGTTGTACATATTATATTGTGATATTTTGGACACTGCTCATTTGGGAATGTTCCTGCCTTTTCTGCTTGGGCGTTTTATAAGTCAACATTGCTTCTGTTTTTAATTTCTTCCTTTTTTCTTTTTAATATCTTATCTTTGAACTCTCTTCAGATTAAACTAAACTGAATGCCTGTACAAATGCTGACTTGGTTTAATTGTCTCCTTCATGGTGCAGTTTGTCTTTAACAAAGATATTTTCATTCAGCACTCACCAGAATCTTCATTAGGTACACCTGTACAACTGCTTGTTAATGCAACTATCTAATTAACCAATCACATGGCAGCAAATCAATGCATATAGGCATATATACATGGGAAAGGTCACATTGAGCATCATAATGTGGAAAAAAAAGTGATTTAAATTACCTTGAATGTGGTGTGGTTGCTGGGGCCAGACAGATTAGTATTTAATATTTGCTGATCTGCTGAGATTTTCCTTACACAACCATCTATGTGGTTTCCAAAGAATGGTATTAAAAAGAAAAGATATTTTGTGGGCTGCATTTCTTTGAGTGAAAATGCCTTGTTGACAGTAATTTATGAGATACAATAAGCGCATTTACCCAGCAGATCAAACCTTAAATTCCTTAATTTTAAATTCTTCTTAACATTTTTAACACTTTCTATATGTTCATGTAAAGTTGGGTAACGCGAGTCTAAGAATTTCATTAAAGGTAAATGTTGCTACAATGTTTTCTGAATATGACAATAAACTTGAACTGAACCTTGGCGCAGATGGGCTACAGCAGCAGTAGACTATACTGGATGCAACTCCTTTCAGCTAAAAAGCAGGAAATTGAAGCTACAAGTCACACTGGCGCCAAAATTAGTCAACAGAATTCTGGAGAAAGGTTGCCTCGTATGATGAGTCTTGATTTCTGCTGCATTCAGATTGTAGGGTCAGAATTTGGCATGAACAACATAAAAGTATGGATCCATCCTAACTTGTATCAGCGGTCTAGGCTGGTGGGGGTGATGTAAAGGTGTGGGTTGTTTTGCACCCTGTATTGCCAGCTGAGTGCCCATTGAATTCCACAGCTTAATTACATATTGGTGCTGACTGTGTCCATCCCTTTGTGACTGCAGATTATCAATCTAATGATGGCTGTTTCCAGCAGGATCCACCATGTCACAAAGCTCATGTCATTTCAGACTGGTTTCCTGATCATGAAGGTGTGTTTGCTGTAACCAGGTGGCTTCCACAGTCACCATATAACAGGGCACCTCTGGGAAATAGTGAAACAGGAAACAGAGATCCTGGATCTGCAGCAAAATCTCAGATGAATGTTTCTCTGTTGAATCTGTACCATGGAGATTAAAGCAGTTCTGAAGGGAAAGGCTGGTCGAACCTAATACTGACAAGGCCTGAAAAATGTGTTTGAATCAAGTTTGTGTTTTTAACACTCTCGAGGCAGGCATTGCCGATTTGCAACAGTTAAAAACTAACAACCTGATTATCCCACATACATATTTTATGAGTTTTTTTTTACTCAGAAGTACCACTGCAGGACTTGGTTGTGCATTAGCAACAAAAAGTTTAATTTGAGCTTGAGATTTCCAGGTTTAAAAAAACAATGGGGGAGATTGGTCACATTAAATGAGCATCAAATATTAAATTGTGTGCTCACTACGCTGACCACATTTTAAATGGAAATAACTTGTCATAAAGATAATGTACTGCCTGGTTTCATGATATGAAGAGAATAGACCTAAGTTTTCAATATATATGTGAATCAAATGATCCCAGTTCTCAGCATACTGTTTAGGTTCTTCATCAAAAACCATCAGGTGGTGGGAGCATGGAAGGAGGACATAATGGACTGGAGAGAACAGGTTTGATTTGTTTGATCCATGGCAGACATTGTGACCCTCGGAGTATTTGCTCGTGCTAGTCCGAGGGTTCAGCTCACAGTGTTAGTCTGCAGAGTCCATTTCTTGGCTGGATTATTCTGTCAAGGCCAATAGACTGGTAGACTCAGGTGCAGACTTGGAAGATGTGCGGGTTGTTTTGTTGTTGTTGTTTTTTAACAGTGAAGAAACTATCTACAACAATCACAAATATGCAAACAGCAAATTATGTTCCGGGGGGTGGGGGGGTGGGGGTGGTGGTGATCCACCATGCACAATTCTCTCACGCTCAATTCAGGCTCAAATCCAGGAAAATCCAGGAACCTGTGCAAGAGGAACAGAGGAGCAAAATTTACTGATGGCTGTCTGATGCCGATGTGCTGATATTTCAACACTAGATGTCGCTGAAACGAAGCTTTGAATGAACGATCCTATTTTCAATACAGTTGATGAAGTGGTTCGGTACTGGTTCATTGCTTTGAGGGACCAAATGACAATTTGGAAAGTGAAGTTTATTTTTATTACCTTAATCTGTAAAACAGCCTTTAGCTCAGAGTTGGAAAGTAAGTATATTTACAAAAGTGCTGAACTTAAGTATTTTTCTGTCTCCATTCTGCTTTATATTTTCATTCCACCACAATGAGATAGAAAGGTTGCACCTTACTAACAATGATTTGAACCAAACATGTCAAATTTGGATTTGTCACTTAATAAGACTGATTGACACTGATTTTTAGTCCATTTCTTGTATAATTTGCCATACATTAGCCTTTTATCCCTGTTCCCCTTCCTTTTTAAAAAAAAATGTTTTTTAATGAGTTTTTCTGTTTTCACAAATAGTACATAATTACATAACATAATAAAGTGTAAAATTCAGAACCAACAATAAATTAAAAAAAAAACAAAAACAAACAAAAAACAAATAAACAAAACAAAAACAAACAAACAAACAGACTGATAACTAAGCACAAAACACCAGCTCAGGTCCATCTAAA